GTTGCTACTTCATCACTGTCATGTTGCTACTGTTATGAATCATAATGTAAATATCTGATATGCAGGATGGCCTTAGGCGACCCCTGTGAAAGGGTTGTTCGACCGCCAAAGGGGTCGTGACCCACAGGTTGAAAACCACTGCATTAGATAATCTGGGTGACTACTCATTGGGGCAAGAGGACTAGCAGCACAGAGGGCAGTGTGTGATCATCAGAGCTCTCCTCAGAGGCCAATGCCACCCAAACCTGTGTTTTCAATCCCATGGAAAGAAGGGTGGCTCTCCCAAAGAGCTTCTGGATGCTGTGGACAGAAATGGTGTTAGACTGACAACTAATGCATTTTTACTAAAAAGTATTACTCTTACAATGTTTTTGTTATTAATATAAATGTCGATGTAACATAATGGAAGCTGACAGTTAGGGCTACAAAACTGGTTCTATTTAAAAAACAAACCATGAGAGAGTGACAGAAACAGAGAGAGAGAGAGAGAGAGAGAGAGAGAGAGAGAGAGAGAGAGAGAAGGAAGGAAGGAAGGAAGGAAGGAAGGAAGGAAGGAAGGAAGGAAGGAAGGAAGGAAGGAAGGAAGGAAGGAAGGAAGGGAGGAAGGAAGGAAAGAAGGGAAGAAAGACTAGTTCATGTAGTTCCAAATCCCTAAGTCCCAACTCTCAGTCTTGGGCCTTCTCTGGCATATACTAGTATATACAAAAATCAGATAGATTTTTAAGAAGAATTTCACTTTTTAAATCTAATTTTGATGCCTGTTTGATGAAGAGTTCTATTGTTATTGGGATTTATGAAGGTTTATTTTTACTGTAGAACTAGGAAAGTGTTCCTGGCAGAAGCATTTTCCCCTAAAGCTATGCTAAACGCTTTTTATCATCACCTACAGAGTTTGTATGAAAGCCTTTTTTCTCCCTATTGAATTCATAAATGTTCCAAAACACTTAGAAAGTATCTGTTGTATAAACTGTTACATTTGTCCAATTATTTAGTGAAAGAGGAGTCATTTTGTAGTTCAACTGTCATATGGAATCACACACTGAAACGCTAAGAGTTTATTCTCAAAGTGGGTTAGAGGCTCCAGATGCGTAGTTTTTAATGTCAATATATTTTACTTAAAGAGGTATATTTGGATCACATAAGAGGGGTACTAAAGTCACATCATAGTGAAGCTTGGAGGAGATTACCCTTATATAGGAGAAGTTGTATTCACCCTTCCAAATCCCATCCCAGAAAAATGTGCGGGTATAATTGAGGGCCTTCTTCATCAATTTGAAAACAATGCTTTCCTAGACAAAAGGCCCAATTTAAAATGCCAACTCCACCACGGATTCTGTAAGATGACTTTACCCTGATTACCCTTGAAACAACTTTTCCATTTGTAATGGGGAGAAATTCAAAAAACACATAAAACCACATTTTCCTCCTACAGGTCAGAATTTCATATCTTAAGTTTTAATTTGAAATAATCTAATTCAATACTCTCAAGAGAATGTAGAAAATTATTTCTGTTGCATTTACAACAAAGCTATTCAGCAACAGAAGAGTTCTTTTCCTATATTTATAATCTACTGGATCATATGCTCACACTAAAGGTCCATTAAATTTCTCAGGAATAATACTTTGCCACTTTTTTGAAATCTCAAAAAATTCTATATTTACTTTCTGTGAAGATCTTTCTTTAAAAATAAAAAGCATCACTCCCTTCCTTGCTCGTGTTAAATCCACACATCAAATTTTGGCATGGTTAAAAATATCTAATGACTCTGAAATGTGAGTGTTTTTTCCCCTCAGTTTGGTCTTATCTCACACCAAGTCATAGTGCTGATATTTTTTTTCTTTCTTCATTCAGCGAACACTTATTTCGAACCTACTGTGTGCTAGAATCAGGCTGCAGGCTGGACTAGTTAAAGCCCTTTATTTAGATTTTATAATGTCTCTTGTGAGGGAGGCCTCTGCACTTACTGAACTATAATTGCCTTTTGGTTATGTAAGACTGATTTAGAAGAGAAAATACTTTCATTTACATACCTAAGTTTTCCAATAAAAGGCAAGCTGAAAAACTGATTTCTATTGCAAGCACACACACATAGACTAAAACATTTTATCAATAAAATCTAATTTTTCTCTCTAGGCTGGTAACTTTGCAGAGGGGGAATCTATGCAGGCATGCAAGAGAGAAAAGTTTTTATATTCTTTTATCAAAAGATGTATTAAGACAGACAGATTGAAATGCATCAGTTTCTAGTAACCAGCAGATGGTGCTTTTAGTAATAAGTTTATAAAAGGTTACTTGAATATCTTGTCTGTAGAGTTTTTTTGTTTGTTTGTTGTTTTAATAAAACTAAATGAGACACGGTGATATTTTGTCATGACATGAAGCAAATTCTTTATTTTTATTGTTAGTAATGTATATACTTACAAAGCTCAGCACAGCTTTTACAACACTCCTATTAGACACCTTCCAGATAATGAAATAAAATATTTAAAAATTGAAATGAATATAAGTATTATAACCCACTGATTTAATTAAGTGCTGTATCTTTATGTAGTTGGAGTAATTTAACTTCCAGCATAATTTTAATTAACAGATAAACTCACATGTATTGCTTTAACTCATGCTACTTTGATTTTAAATTTTCTTTGTTTGTAAAATAATCATTAAAATGTTAAATGACTCATATGGGTACAATCACAATGAAGGTAAATTCTTGATCTCTAATAAGAACAGCTGTATTAGCATTTGCTCTTGGCATGTTTTATTTGGTCTCTTTCTTTCAGTTCTGACCTCCATTTCTCTTAAATCAACTTATTTGTATCATGCACTTCTAGTTGGCCATCTCAAATTCTTTTTAGTTAGAAATTGACTTTAAATAAATGCACAATACTAGGCCATATGCGGTGTTTAACAGCATAATAGTAATTTCACATGAGTTGTTTGAAGAGATTAGCAAGGAAAACATATCAATTTGATTTTTGTGGAAGAATTGTACAGAACCATTTGAATTCATCACATTGTGAAGACTAAATGCATTTACAAAAGCATGAAACATTCTCCTTCCATGGCCAGTGTCTACTAGCTGAGAAATTAAGGATATTGATGAGACTATCCTACAACTCTCTTTTATCAGCTAAAATTAGGAAACTGCAATTACTTTTTTATTATTGTTTTTACCATTTTGTCCCTTGTTAGAGTGTCTTAAGCCTTTGTATTGTGCTCAATTGGGTCTCTCATTTTTGCCTTGAGTGTGAATAAACCCAGCTAATCTGACATTAATAAAGAAAAGGGAGGGCACAGGCGCTAGGGTGCCTGGAAACCTTAGAAAATAGCAAAATAGGAGTGATGGAGGGTAAATGGTGAGCCTAAAGCTACTGGCACACTTTCACCTGAAAGATCCAAGAGGTACGGGATTATATTTTCACCTTTTACTTTGTATACTTCCTTAAAAGTCAATGAAAAGAGAACTTGCCTTGTAAGTGGGTAATGCTAGATGGGATACTTGATGATGGTTTTCATAAAAGTCAGCAAAGTAGATCAGCCTGGGTTTTGAATCCCTGATTAAAAAGCACACATGAATTTTTACCTTTGGAGGCGAATAGGGCATCTTCCAGAAACAACAGATCTTGAATTTAGTAAACAAAATCTGCGCATTACAGTGACCTTAAAAAATGAGGCGCCCTTAGTTGTTTTTCTCTTTAAGTATATTTTTATTGATTTCAGAGAGGAAGGGAGAGGGAAAGAACAATGGAAGTATCAATGATGATACAGGATCATTGATCAGCTGCCTCTTGCACACCCTACATTGGGGATCAAACCCACAACCTGGGGATGTTCCCTGACCAGGAATCGGACTGTGGCCTCCTGGTTCATAGGTCGATGCTCAACCACTGAGCCTCTCCAGCTGGTCATTTGTCCTTAATTTTAAAGTCAATAAGCAATAGTGCTAATTATGAATTGTGCTCAAAGTGTGGCACTCGTTCAGTTTATACTCGTATTTGAGAACTTCTCACTACAAAATTAGACATGTTTAATCTTTCATAATTCCCAATCATTTTGACCTTGTTCCTACAAGACACAGGAGGAGGAGAGATGTGAACAAGTTGAAAGCATTCAAGAACTCTCATTGGTTTCTGAGTCAAGTAGAGGGAGGTTTTACAAAAAGGGGGAACTGTGAAAGAAGTGTTATTCTTTAAAATTACCCATTCTAAAATTATAATTATCACTGTAGTATCAAGGAAAACAGTAAACATACTGCATAAATGAATTGACACCAGCTGTTCCTTTACCCAAATTAGATAAACTATCCTATTTTAAGCCTAAATGACATTAAGTAAGAAAATGATTAGATTTGGGCTCTGTCCCTTAAAAATATTTGCCAGGTGTCATTTTAATTTTTCGCCAAAAGTAATGTGATCTGCAGCAGTTCTTTGGAAGTTTTGGGTCTGAGTTTATTTTCCTGTGGTGCTTTTAAGTCCATAAATGTTTAGTTTTGAACTTCTGTGTGTCTTCACATGAGCCACATGTAACAGTTTAATGATATACCATTTAAGCAGACTCATCATAAAACATGCTTTAAATGAAATTGAGTGCTAGAAATGAAAAGGAAAATGCTGATTTGGAGAGTAAAATAATAATACACTAGTTTTATATCCTCTGAGCAAATAAAATCCTTCATATTTGTCTTTATTAACATCATCCTCAACAAAAAATGAGTCCATTTACTTTGACAGTTCTTAGACAAGAGGCTGTTTTCAATAGCCAATATGTAATCAATGATTTTAACCTTTATCTATGTGGAGAACAGAAATAAACCAGTTAGTCAAAAGTATTTATTTAAAAAGTCAAATAAAAAAGATTGCCCTTCAGACTTTCATTAGCCCCTACCTTAGCATTGTCTTGGCTGACCTGATGTTTTATTGATTCTGAGGGATCATTAAATAGCATGATTTAATTTTATGAATACCACTTGATACCTAAATGTCTATTTAGGGATAAACTTACAAGTATAAAATATAGTGGGAATTTGCATGTCATCCTTGCACAGGGGCCAGGCTAATCTTCTCTGTACCATTCCAATTTTAGCATATGTCCTGCCAAAGCCCGAGTGCCCATCAGTAGATGAGAAGATAAAAAAGCAGTGGTACATTTACACAATGGAATACTACTGGGCCGTAAAAAAGAAGGAAATCTTATCCTTTGTGGCAGCCTAGATCAGTGATGGCGAACCTACGACACGTGTGTCAGAGGTGACAAGCGAACTCATTTTTTGGTTGATTTTTCTTTGTTAAATGGCATTTAAATATATAAAATAAATATCAAAAATATAAGTCTTTGTTTTACTATGGTTGCAAATATCAAAAAATGTCTATATGTGACACGGCACCAGAGTTAAGTTAGGGTTTTTCAAAATGCTGACACGCCGAGCTCAAAAGGTTCGCCGTCACTGGCCTAGGTGGACCTAGAGATTATTAAACTGAGGGAAAAAGCCAGTCAGAAAGAGACAAATACCATATGATTTCACATATATGTGGAATTTAATGAACAAAATAAGTAAAATAGAAACATACTCAGATACAGAAAACAGACTGACAACTGTTAAAGTGAAGGGAGGTTGGAGGACTGAGTAAAAAAGGTGAAGGATTAAGCAAAAAACAACCAAACAAAGAAAACACTCATAGACACAGAAAACAGTGTGAAGATTGCCAGAGGGAAAGGTGGGTGGGAAGAGGTAGAAGAGGGTAAAGGGGAGATAAATGGTGATGGAAGGAGACTTGCCATTGGGTGGTGAATATATAATTAAATACAAATGAAATAAATATAAGAAAGAATAGTTATACAATATTACTTATCTTCTTCAGTTGCTTCCAATGTTTTGTTAACATCAGTGTTGATTAATATTTACCAATGTTAAAAGTTTTTTTGATACTTATTGTCAATTGTCCTCTATAAAGATAGTCACAATTTCTATTTCCACCCCTGGTATATGAGAATATTTGCTTTGCCAAACAGTTTCCAACTGTGATGAAACATTTGAAAAAAATCTACACAACTTGGATTGCTGAAAACTAACATTTCACTGTTTCAACTTGCATTTTTTAAAACAATTTACGACTGACATGGAGTACCTGCTGATTTACAGATTAAAGTTGTAATTGCTTATTCAAGTCCTTAGGCCAGGGGTGGGCAACCTTTTTGTGAGTGCATGCCAAAACCAGCAAAATCTCTGACTCAAAATTCTTCTGCGTGCCGACCCTAATTTTTTGAGAACATGTTACGCCTACTTGATATCTCTTAAGGTGTACTTATGTGAAGAACCTTGAAGAAATAATAAAATTCATTTGAGCAACAAAAACACAGTATATGATGAAAAGTACATTTATTTTTTAATGTATACACGTACACTGATCGTCCGACAGAAAACTTTATGACTCCGTTTGATATTATCAGTGGGACTTTTGCTGCTGCATCACTGATGACAGAGATTTTACATCAGGTTTATATTTCGTGACCTTCATAGATATGTACAAGCTACTACTTTCATCTGTCAGGCTACTCCTATTACGAGACTTAACAAAATTCATCACTGAGAACAAAGATTCACAAGCGTATGTGGATGAAAACATGGAAAGTAATGCTGTTGCAAAGTTTTTTAAACAGAAAATGTTTTCTGGAATGGCATTCCAAGTCCTCAATAGTTCGTTTTCGACACTTCTCTCTGGTACTCCTGTCTCTAATCGCTTTTTTTCAATGTATTCCAATTCAACTCTAAGGTCAATAAATTTCTGCTTCCAAATTTAGCTAATCTGAAATTCAATCAACTGCATTTCAAAGTCAGCCATGTCCATGGTCTTAAAGATAACTTGTTATGTAAAATTATTTATTTATCTAAGATGCACCTACACTGAATTTATCTGAAAAATACAAAAGTCGATATGAAGAAAAAAATTGTAAATGGAAGGTTATAAGAGAGGGTTTCGCGTGCCAGCAAAAGTTACTGGCGTGCCATGTTTGGCACGCGTGCCAGGGGTTGCCCACCCCTGCCTTAGGCTATGCTGTTTCTAACTTTCACTGAGCTTTTGCTATGTACCATTCTTTAAAACACTTTACATACTTATCTCCTTTGATCCTGACAACCACCCTGTTTGGGAGGGACTATACATTTCATTTTACAAATAGAAAATTAAAGTTGGACCATGTAATTGGTCCCAAATTATAGGCTAAGCCATTCAAATCCAGAACCACTGTGTCTCTGTTTAAAAAAGAGAAATCTTACAAGAAGATGAGAAGACAAAATTGATTTCATTTACAATTTGAAGTAAAACTCTCACCAAAGCTAGGCTTTTACCATCCCGCAGAAACTATCAGAGAGGCACACTCTCTTGCTTGACAGTTACATTTCGAGGACATAGTTCTCAGATCCTTGTAAATGGCACTTCTGGCTTGTAACACTGGGAAGGGGCTTCGGGTAGAGAAAGGCTTTAAAATTACATTGCCCTTTGGATTAATTTGCTCTAAGAAAAGGGAAGTTAGGAGTCTAAAGTCAGAAAGAAACCTATCAAAAGTGTAGTAAAGCTGAGAACTTTAAGGCCTTCTTAGTCACTCACAATAACATTTGATAGTCAAAGATATTAACGCTCTGTTACTCATACTTATGGCAAATATTCTGTATTTGTTATAGAAAGATGAGAAACAACTGAGTGGAGGAAGACGTTTAATTAGACTAGTTATTTATATGTTATGCCAATGAGTTTGTTTTCCCCTGGTGCAAGTCCGTAAATGTTTAGTTTGAACTTTTGTAATTAACAGTGTGCTTTAAACATGTTCTTTGTAACTAATAGCACTCTACCATATCATACTAAATTTCTATTTGACACCTTATCAGTGTTTTATCATTAATATGGACCCCTACTAGTTCCTGTAGATTGTTTTCAACCTAATAATAAAAATGTATGCATGCTATTTACTATTCCAGAAAAACATATTTATCTTTGCATAAAATAGTAGCATATTTTTATTATTATTTTATAGTACATTCTATATTTTCTAGGTACTTTGTGTATAATTCTTTCAAGAGCCCAAACAGAAGGTATTATTTTTATTTCTATATTTCTGATAACAAATTTAATCACTGTGGTATTAAGTTTCTCCCCTAGGATCACACAGCAAATTATCTTGCAGAATAACTTTTAATTAGTAAGCTTGCCAAGTGTAGAGCATATGATGTTAAGTGAAAAAACTGTTTGAAAAATAAGTACGTTAGGATTCTATTTTTAGAAAACATATATATGCATATATATGTATGTATGTATGTATAAGGGGTTATAAAAGATCTGAACAATGTTTACATTGACTAGAGACAATCAATTTTATTTTTGTTAATATTTGAGCAAGGGTTATATTTTTAATATTATGTAATAAATATTTATTTTTAAAAGTTATGATTAATGTACCTTTGTTCACTGAACATTAAAGTGCACCAAAATGGAAAACAAACCCACAAAATGTACCTAGATTATGAGAAGCACTATAATATAAAGACCCTCTATTATTCTTTTCTAATATTTGAATATCAAGAAAACCAAATAAATAGATAAAACCTAGATGCTTTAAGTTACATTAGAGATAGAAAATGAACTTTGGTTCAAAATTGAGGCTAGCATTTCCCACTGCAAGGTTTTCTTCTCTCTCTCTCTCTCTCTCTCTCTCTCTCTCTCTCTCTCCTCTTTTTCATTTCACTATAGACTTTTGCAGTAAATAATGGATATTTGTTGAAAGTGGCATGTAATAATGATTGACATACTTTGATTTTGAGTAGAGTATGGTTTCCAAAGGAATTTCTATGTTATTGAGTAACCTTTGGGGAATCATTAAAGTTTATTTTATTATTATTAATATTATTATTATTATACAAGTAATATGTTGGTTTTATTTATTTCCGGATTAATACTTGGTCAACAGTATGTGGGATAAACCAAAGTAGAGGCGAGATAGGGGGCGAGAACGCCACACAGAGCCCTAGCTGGTTTGGCTCAGTAGATAGAGCATCGACCTGTGCACTGAAGGGTCCCTGGTTCAATTCCAGTCAGGGGCACATGCCCGGGTTGCAGTTGCGGGCTCAGTCCCCATTAGGGGCATGCAGTAGGCAGCCAATCAATGATTCTCTTTTATCATTGATGTTTCTATCTCTCTCTCCCTCTCCCTTCTCTGAAATCAATATCAAAAATAAACTTTAAAAAATATCGTGCAGGTGATCAGAATAGCAATAGTCAAACAGCAGATAATATGTGCTAGGCCTATAAAGAAAATGAAAGCTAATATGGGACAAGTGAGCATTAGGAATGATGCTCAAGTATGTCAGGATGAGGGGAAAGGTAGATAGGAATATCATAGCAATAGTTCCCAGGAGGCTGTTTTCTCATTGAAGGTAGGTTTTGATTTAAACAGTCTGACAATCTACCTCTATGATATGGGTTAGATTTTCCTAAATGATGGAAGAAAAAAAACAACCTAAAAGTATGATGTCTTTTTTTTTCTACAAATTTATTTACTCTAAAATGTATTTACTGTAGTTGTAGGCATACACCATTTTTTAAATAACTGTCCCTTTTGTTTTCATCACAGTGATCAAGAAGAGTTTTTAGTACTAAAACACTTATTTATTTTATTTTTTAAAAATATAGTTTTATTGATTTCAGAGAGGCAAGGATAGGGAGAGAGAGCTAGAAACATCAATGATGAGAAAGAGTCATTGATTGGCTGCCTCCTGCACACCCCCTACTGGTAATAGAGCCTGCAAAGGGGGCATATGCCCTGACCTGGAACCAAACCATGACCTCCTGGTTCATAGGTCAACACTCAACCACTGAGACACGCCAGCTGGGCACTAACATACTTATTTATGTACTCAGTCAATATCTCAATATTCTCCTTAACATTACATGATCTAAAAGAGCCATATCAAATATCTATTTTGGTTTTAGAGTTATTTAAGTTGGTATTTGTTTACATTTTTCTTTTCTTCAGAGTAGGTCAAGATTATTAGATGATGAATTTTCATTTACTTAGATGAAATTTTAGAAAGGACTTAAGGTTTAAGTCACAAAATAGA